CGCCTCAGCGACCGCCCCATCCCAGTGGACACACCGACGCTTGCACAACCCGCCGGCCGTTGACGACGACCGTCCTGCCTCAAAACCCCACAACGCCTTCTCCTCCAGCATGCTCAACGCCGCCGCCAGCCCAAACCTCTCGCCCCGCACGTCACACCCGGCGGCGACGGGGCCCGGCGCCATGGCCGCTGCCGCAGCGGCGGCGGCGTCTGTGGCCGCGGCCGCCCCGCCTTCTCCGGCTGGCGCAGGACCTGCGGCGGGTCGCAGCAGCGCCCGGAGATCGATCGGGGAGGTACCGGTGGCGATGCCGCCTTCGCGCTCCACGGCGCCCGGTGCGCCGCTGGACGGCTGGAGCAGCCGCGGGGCGGGTCTGGCGAACGGAAATGTGCGGCGCCACGTCACTGTGGGCAACTTTTTCAGCAACCTGCTGGCTGCTGCCGGGGGCCAGGCGCGGTCGACGGGGTTTGCGAGCCAGCCAGAGGCCTCCTAATCTCCTAACCGGCCGGGCCCCCTTAGCACGGGCGGTAGTGCAGCAGGTGCGTGCGGACTGCTTGGGGAGGCAGTGCGACAGATAGAAGGGTTCACGAGAACGAGAACTGGAAAGGGGCGGGACTGTGAGGCGCGGACGATTTGGGGCGTGGTGTGCGGCCATGGTGCGTGCTGCAGGATGGACTGCCCCGGGCGGATTGGTGACTGGTGACGGAGTGTTAAGGAGCAATGCATGGACAGGACAACCCTCCACACCTCCAGGGCCGCATGTTTGCTTCCATGGCGACGCCTTTGCTGCTTACAGCCATATAACATGTGTGTATATGTGTGTGCCGGTATGTGTGTGTTTCAAGCAAGGATGGCGAGCGCACAAACTAGCGTAAGGGGGGATTGCTGCTGGTTGCGCAGTTTGCATTGCGTGGCCGCCGAAGCCAGTTATCTGCTGCGTTGAGCGTGATGGGTGAACGGGGGGGGGGCGCCAACGATGAGCGTTGGCTGGGTAAGAGTTCCTAGCTAGCAGGGGCAAGGGACGATTGGTTGTCGTGCTCGCTAGCTACACGCACGGATGACCTGCCGGCCACCTTTGGATGTGCATCTTTGGTCGCGCGCTGTGTTTTTGGTTGGTTTCTGCGTGGTTCGTTCGTTTTCTTCAAGAAGGGGACATACATGATGTGTTACTGGAGCGCAACGCGTGCAGGTGGGATTACGTGTCTCGTTATTATTATCTTTGGCTGTGTGCGTGGCATGGCACGTCTTGGGTGAAGAATGAATGGATGGATGGATTAGAATCAAGGATTGGCAGGGCTGACTGTAGGCTTTCTGGAGGATCGGGACCCACGCAGCCACCCGTCGGGCGTGGCCGATCGACCCGCGGGTCGCTGCTCTCCCGCCATCCTGCTGGCGCCGCTCAGCTTGAATGCATGTATCTGTCTGTGCGTCCGTCGATTACGCGATGCGGGGCCACGGTAGGTGGCCCGGATTACCATCAACGACGGCGACTTGCATATATATCTGCGGTATCTGCTGTCCTTTGCGACTACATACATGGTGATCGCTCGTGTGCAGTGTGGAAAGCACGCAGGGGCTCAGGGTTTCGTGCGTCGTCTATCCCTTCGGCGGCGGCGAGGTCCATGCAGCGTATCCATCACGAACTCACTGGATGGAGCATTATTAGGTGAACTGCAAATGGGTCCACGCAGTTCGACTGCGCTTTTATTGTTAGTGTCCACATTTGTTTACTGCTGGCAGAGGTCCGCTTCCTTCTGAAGCGCGAGGAGAGCGCGCGGAGGAAGCAAGGACGGCCGGCGTGTGGATGGATTCGGTGGGGAGCGGGCGGGACAGAGTAGGCCGTGCAAGGCCGTTTGTATGTGCGGCAGTTGCTTAGGTCGGATGTATGGCCATCGCCAATGCCCGCAGGTTAAAAGCGACTGCCCGCCGATGCCGGCCAAACGTAATGTATGTGCTATTGTGCGTGGGCTGCAGCATGCAGCGTTTGATTGTGCCGCCGTTCCGGATGGCTGAAACCCGCATTTTATTCCTGGGCGGGGTCGGGTATTATCTAACTAACTGAAGCCTTGCGGTAAGAACCCCGTGTACTGCACCGAGGATGGATATCATGGACGTTACGTATCACTCAAGTTAATGCGCGATTGTTAGGTCAAAAGCTCATCATGCGTGCAGCGACACACCTTGCGCCAATGCGATATCTAGCTGTCGCGCTTCGGGGGTTTCATCCGTCGTGCCGCTTTGGGATTTTACGCTTTTTAACATTTTTTACTATGCTATCCTACTGCGTTGCTTACGACATGCATGTATGTCACAATAGACTGCTGCGCCGCCAGAGGTGCATCCACCTTTCCTGCCTTCCTCAGCTTCGTTTTTTCGTCACGCTGCGCTTTGTAGGCAGCAGCCCCATCTACCTGCCTGTGTATGGGGGGTAGGGCGCTCTCACAAACCAGCAGCAGACCGCCAATCGATCGTAGTGGTATGGTTGCTTCCCGCCGTGGTCCGCTTAAACTAGGGGCTGCGTTCATACGTAGAACGGCAATGCATCTACACGGATGTACGGCGGGGGCGCAATCGCCGGGGACGGACAGACCCACCGCTTCCCGTCACTTACGCTGATTGTGGTGGAGTAGTTTTGACGGATAGCCCATTAGCCGCCAAAGGGACAACCCTGCGTTGCTGTCAGAGGTGCCGCTGTTGCTGTTTTTGGGTGGTGGTGGCGGCGGCGGTGTGGTGGTGGCGGTGTGGTGGTGGTGGTAGGTGGTATGGTGCTGCAGCAGATGGGCCAGTGGGTGATGAGCGAGGGCTCAGAGAGGCAGCAGGACTCAACAGTCAACACCTGGCGACTGTATGTGGCGTCGACCCGGTGATGAAAGGACTTGACGAACATCGATACACCGTATCTGTAGTAATCTGAGATCCTGTACGCGTCGCGGTGACCGGATGGGCTGTATGTGCGGGACCACATTATTGCTGTGCTCGTTTCGCTCTACGTCGGTGGCATGGGTCGTGGACGGATGTGAGGTTGCACGCACGGCGGTGTCATGGCAGGCAGGGCATGCGTGAGCAGTGCATGGCATCCGTGCGTGCTGCTGCTGGCGTACGTGGTTGATCGGAGGGCACCGACCGCAGAGATGGATGGCTGATGAGTTTTAGCATTGCCTACCGTAGCCCGACCAGCCAAATTGGGGCTGCGGAATGAGTGTGAGCGGTGTGTTTGTTGCACGGAGTGACGACGTGGCAATGACGTTACCATCTATACCTCGTCGTGTTTGTTGGATCGATTGCGTCGAACGCTTTATACGATCGAGCAGCTGCCTTAATTCTTGGTCGGTCGTCCTTACCCCAGAGGAGGCCTGGCAGACAACACTGATGTCAGATCGATGTCTCTGTGATGATCCGCGGACCATCTACCATCGGTTGCATCGCTCGGTTGCATTGCCTTCTGGGTAGAAGCCCCGCCCGGTGTAAGCCTGGCTCCTGAGCATCCTCGGGATAAGCCTTTGCTGCTTACAAGTCGGTGCACTACCGGTAGTTGTAAAACAGACACGAGCACACGACCCCTGCCTGCGGGCCCGTCACACGCATACGCCGGCCGCGCGGAGCCGTCTGCATGCATCGAACTTTGTAGTCCGGTGCGTGGTGCGTGAGGTGAAACGTACGACCGATGATCTGCGGTGGGCGACTGCGTGCGTGGAGGGGCAGCAAGCATAGCTATGGCGAGCTTACCCCCTTCATTCGTTGGGCTAATGATTTGCTGTTCGCAGCAGTCCTGCAAAGGTGTAATACATAATCGGGCGTTCTGGGCACAGTGCCTGATGACAGGGCTCATCCATTCATTGATTGCAGCCAGCGAGTTGCTCGCTGGCAGGTGTATGTGTTGGTGTATGTGCCCCTTTGTTATTCATGGAATATCTCTATCTTCCGCATCTCCCGAAATGCAAGTTGTTACATCAGAATTGTGCATACGTATTGCCAAGGAAGTACGAACATACATGACATGATCCCGGAGCAAGTCCCGGTACACTCGTATGGTACCGAACGTGCGCATACTGCATAGCATGTCAGTGATGGGACGCATGTTCAACCTAAGGGTCGGTTATGTTGAATGCCCTTGATTGAAGGCGGAAACAGTGGGCTAAACGACCGCGCTCATACCTCCTCCGTACGTTGAGATCGCCATTGTTCAATGTCAAAACAAACGATCGAGTGATGCTTGGGCCGTCCGAGAACGCCCAAGCGTTTCGGAAACAAACTATGTTTGCATTGCGAACTAACATTCTTCCCGCGACCACACCTGCGGGCCGCCCAACAAGTCCAGTCGGCAACCTAGCTAGGGGACTTCTACATTCCCTGTCCTAATGTTAAGTGTTGTCAAGCCTCCTCTACGGCGAATACCTCGGTAGCGAAGCCTGTGCACTCTCGTCGGCAACTGCACGTCATCGCGACCCTCTCAAACAGTTCCGCTGCCCTTCTATTGGCAAGTCAGCCTGCGTGATGTGTAAATGATACACTGCATGTCTACTGTCAAGTAACTTCAGCCAATGCGCTGGCCGGAAGAGTTGCACAGTGCTGAGACGGCGCGCGATGCTAAACATGGGGCGGATTGCTGAAAGCTCTGGCTGTCTATCAGCAGGAATGTTGACACTCTCACACTTCACGCCCTCGCCGCCCTACAGTACTGTAGCCCTTCAACTCCACCCGTACGGATTGAACGGGGCCCCGCCCTTTTTCCGGCTTCAAGGAAGCCGACACCAACCCCTTGTCAAAGGGGAGGACGGAATGTAAGAGAAAAAAAATTAGAATCCAAGGTATCTCCCAAGATCTCATTGCATGTTGCCACACATCTGGTCTCGGTGTTCTGTCTTTTGCCCTGCTCGGCTGTTCTCCGCTGACATACATGTGCACGGCTTGCTGTCGTACTCGTCCGCTGGCATAATATTGCTATTATATATTAATCGTTATTTTTGTCAACATACAGTGACAGCTCGGAACAATCGAGGGGGGTCGTCATCGTATAGTGGTCAGTATCCCCGCCTGTCACGCGGGAGGCCGGGGTTCGATTCCCCGTGACGGCGATGTTAGTTTTGTCCATGCTTGTGTTACAATGAGGGTGATTCATCCACAGCACCACTGCCTGCCCAAAATCTTCACCAGCGCCTGCCCAAAAACGTCACAACCACAAAACCACTCCAAACGCCTACAAACCCTAAATAAACAAACCCCACAACCCCACACCCTCAAAACCCTACGTAGACCCTAAAGCATGTCAGAGCATGTCCACCCTTGCAATTAAACGCTTGGAGCATTCCGTTGTTAAACCTTATTGTTGTCAGCTCGCTCGAAACTCTCTTAAGGTGATATGACGGGCACTCTGTACATCAGATGCCAATGGGCTGCTGCACGCATGGATGGCTTATGGATGGCTTATGGATGGCTGATGTGATCTGACTCCAAAGCGATGGCTTATGTGACTCCAAAGTGATGGCTTATGTGATCTGACTCCAAAGCGTGCCAAAGGATATGGTGTAATGGAGGCTGTGTGCTGTACGTATTTCGGTACGTATGTTATTATATATACTGAATTAACAGCGAGGCCAGCGAGAAACCCACCCCTCTTAGCAGCACAGCAGTCGACAGTGCAAACAACTACCCGTTTGGCGGAGCCTGACCGGGGCCAGCCAGGCGCCATGCATGCTGCACCTGCTGGGATGGCACCCTCATCAGCAGGCCGGTTGGAGAACCCCGCCCCTATGTGGCAAGTATGCAAAGCGACGGTGTTCCTTTCCGATGCCATGGGGACGAGGGAAGTACCCGTCCCCGCAGTGATTGATTCGGGTGCTTCACATAGTGTTATAACAAGGAACACCCTACGGAAGCTGGACCTGCTGGATTAGGTGGAAGAAACAAATGTCACGTTTCTTAACGCGGACGGCAACAGCGGAAGATCCGCTGGACGCGTACGAGATTTCTTAGTAGCCACCAGGGATATGCAGATGCTATCTAATAGATCCTTTCGTCAGCAATGCAATCAATTATCAAATGCTGCTGGGAACCGACTTTCTATACCCAATCCAGGCTACCGGTAGCATTTGTTACGATAAAAGCTGTCTCGAATACACCAACGACAAGAACCAACGGTCATGCATCAATATCCACTTCCTGCGCGGGGGTCCTGCGATGACGACCGCCAATGACGAAATAGGGCAAAATACGGCCGAAGCTTACCTAACGGATGAGGGTGAGCCAGAACAAGAAGACGGCGCGGAAAGGGCAGAAGATGCCCCAGGGGAGGTACCCACGCCTCAAGGTCCGGTGGCGATGTCAGGGACTCGTCTTGAGGGACCCGAGCCCGCTGCGAGCATGCCAAGATATCTGTCGGTACTTGAAAAGGAGATGCTACAAGCAGCGCGAGAGGAAATCGAAGCCACGGTTGACCGGCTCGTACAACGCTGTAAGCCTGGCTCCTGAGCATCCGCGGGATAAGCCTTTACTGCTTACAATTGGTATCGAGACCTATGCCGTACGACCTCGTTCCCGGGAGGTCGCCGGTTCGATTCCTGGTCAAAGCGCATGGCTATCGGGTAAAACCCTTGCGAGGGTGGGGAGGCCCCATGCATGGACGCCGAGGACGGCTCACTCTAAGGGGGGGGAGTGTAAGCCTGGCTCCTGAGCATCCGCGGGATAAGCCTTTACTGCTTACAAACGCCTGCTGACTGATACAAACACAGAGCTGCCAAGTGGCACCGACAGCGGCGAATAGAACAACGAACCATGGAGTCAAGAAACCGAAAAGAAGTCAGCTCCGATACACTGATGTTCCCATGGCAGGGCGATGAGGGGGAGATGTTTCCGTTAGATCTAGGCCCTTCGTTCGGCGAATTGCCAAGTGAGGAGGGACCCGTAGCAGCGCCCTCCACACCTGTGGCGGAGGACCCAATCCCAGAATCTAGGCCACCTACATACAACAACACATGATGATCTGCTCATCCCAAAACTCCTAGCCGAGGGACAGGCCGTACCGGCGGCGCCTCCCACGTCAGGGACCAAGTACGACGGACATACAGATGCCGCCTGCCCCTGCCCCGGATGGCCTAGATCACAGCGGTCACCTATCTAGAGGAGGCCCAGTTTAGAGGCATGGTGGCGAGAGCGTTACGCAGCATTAAGACCCCGGCCCCAGAGCTTCGGGATCTACCGGCTAGCTAGCAAGGCCAACCCTGACCTACTGGAGGAAGAACGTCAACAATTAATTAACCCAATGCCTGGAGCACAATTTCGACATGTTCGCGTTGACCAACCGAGAGCTGGGTTTTTACTACGTGGGCATCAATGAAGGTTGATACCGGGGACCACCCGCCCATATGGCAAAACCCTTACCGGCTCTCAAATAAAAGCGGAGAAGACGGCCGTAGACGCGGAGATGCAGCAGATGCTACAAGATGGAGTAATTGAGCTTTCCAACAGCCCCTGGGTCTCGCCCGTAGTGGTGGTTCTTAAGAAGAATAATGGCGAGCTGCGGCCCTGCGTAGACATGCGTAAGGTCAATGACGTAACGAAAGATATCCGGTTTCCCCTTGGACATATACAAGACATTCTAGACAGTGTCGCGCCATCTGGGGGAGAGACTCGCTACTATTCTAGCCTTGACCTCAAATCAGGCTACTGGCAAGTACCGATGGCAGATGAAGCTTCCAAGGAACGCACGGCGTTTGCCACCCCAACCGCGCAATACCAATACGTACGGATGCCTATGGGGCTGAAAGGGGCGGCTGCTGTATTTGCGACGCTCATGCACAAGGTCCCAGGTCCGGTTCTGCAAGATCCCATGCCTACGGAGATGGTGCCCGCCGGGGCGCTGCTGCGGGAACGTTGCGCAGTAGTTTACCTGGATGATATTTTGATCTTCAGCCGTACTCTGGAGGACCATGTCCGGCACCTTCTGTGGGTTTTTGATTTGCTGCGCATGGCAGGACTTAAGGTGGCGGCAAAGAAGTGCGTCTTTGGGCAGAGGAAGGTGGTGTTTCTCGGTCACCTACTCGCTCGACGGAGCGCGAGAGCGGGGCACCATAGGGCCCAATCCCTCGGGAGTAACCAAAATCGCAGCGGTGCCGTCACCTACCAACGTACACGAAGTTCGCGCCTGGCTAGGGGCAGTCAGATACTACCGAGAGATGATTCCGGGCTTCGGTCTCATCGCCAGACCATTATACTCATTACTAAAACAAGACACAGACTGGCACTGGGGACCGCGGGAGGAAGAGGCCTTTCAGGAGCTTCGTAGCAGCCTACTTCGAGACCCTGTCCTCCGCGCTCCCGATTTTAATCGCCAATTCCTAATACAGGTTGACTGGTGCCAAACGGTGGTCGCTGTTTGCCTTGCCCAGAAAGACGAGGAGGGGCTCTCGCTCAGGACCACCCAAATTTTTCGCGTATGGTCGGCTATAGTAGTGGGACAGAAACTGCACCACTGATCGTTCTCAGTGGCTAGCTGCCAGTAAAGCCGTAGAAGACGATATACTTTAATGCTCTACCCAAGACTAACACGCGCAGACCCTAGTGACCTTGTGCTGTTGAGTTACTGATACAGCGTAACGTCTTAAGGCCTAAGGCCCAGCAGGGATGACTCTTTCACTTGCTCTGGCAGCGTTTGGCTTAGACGCCGATGGCCCAGTTACAAGTAGCGTAGGCTAGAGCTTGCTGCTCTTGGGTCTTGAGTGTCGTACACTTGGGAATCCTGTCGTACAGTTGGGTCTTGAGAACCGGGGAGGTTCGAGGGGGATCTTGGTCAGAGAGCTTCACAGGCGTCGGCTGCTTGGACGAGAGCGTTCGTGCTATCGTGCTAAGAGTCGAGGGGTCGGGGACAAAGATTCCTTGCTTCGAGTGTTACAGATTATCAGATTGCCATTAGGCTCAGCGCCTTAAGGTGGGGCCAGGTACCATGAGGTCAGTGGGGACTATCTAGTCCGATCTCAACTGCCTGCTCAAAGACTGCAAACTCGCGCCTTATACGTATATTATTGGCGAAGCACCGTCGTACAGTGCAACGTAATGCATTTGGCCTTGCACAACGTAATGCAACCGTCTGCCAGCATCTTCCTCGCGGCCTCGAAACCTACTATGGCAACTACGCGAACGTGTGTAATTGCGTAATCGGAAGCTATCTACGCGAACGTAACTAATTGCGTAATGGCTACCTGCCGCTTCTCCTTATGTAATAGCGCTACGGCTACTGCAGTAGCTACGCGAAGATGTACGACAATGTGCATCGCTAACATCGTGCAGCTTCTCAAACCTTCCATCAAACTCAACCGCAGGCCTTTGTACATTGTGTCCTGACACTCATAACGGTAACACACGGTTGTTCGCTACAGCTGTAGCGTGCCCCCCCTCCAAGTCCTGGCCGTCCCTTGGCCAGTCGTGAGTCTGACGGCCGGAAACTAGGACCGATGTGTCCTGCTAAACAAGGTTATAGTACCACTACCCGAGCCGCATTCCATTCGAAACGATCTCATGGACGCCCCCTATCATTTCACAAATCGTTCGTATACGGTTGTTCATCGGAACGAAACGCTGGCTCGGTCTGGTACTGGAACTCGGAAGCCACCTTGGACAGTTCATCATCAGGCCCATCAGGATGGCGTAGAGGCTAAGGATGCGGAGGAGCATGCCCAGGAACAGGCCGTGTGCAGGTTCTTCCATGCTCTGATGGTCATCAAGACTGTGTGCGAAGCTCCCCATGCGTGGAAAACCGGTGCGGAAAGCAAGCTCCAGCATCCCAGCATGACTCAAAGACTCATCGTCCGGCGAAATGTAGGGATTGGTACCGCCTAGGTGCATCTCGATGGGGTCGAAAGTGAGCTCGGCGCTATGGATTGGCGTAAAATTCTGGTAGCGATTGGAGCACGGCTTCGGGGGCTGATTCGGTAGTAAATTGCAGCGGCTGCGGGATCTCAGTGTCCTTATTCGTTGGCGAGGGGCTTGAAATGTGGCCTGAATCGTCTTGTGACGAAGGCTTCGTTGGTCTTATCTGGTGGAACGGTGTCATCTGGTACGACGGGCTCCAGGCTATTGTACG